AAAAAAAAAAAAAAAAAAACATTTAAAAAAAAAATTTGGTCTTTGGTCTCCAAATCAGAAGTGGGAGATAGTCACAGTTTATTTACTGTTTATTTACACTGTATTAACAGATCGATCCTTTCATTAGCAGAGTACAACATGAGAAAATCAGAAACTTTACATGTTTTTTTTTTGAGTTGAAGTCTCACTCTGTCACACAGCCTGGAAGGCAGTGGCATGCTCCTGGCCACCAGAGCTTCGACCTGCTGGGCTCCTGCAATCCCTCTGCCTCAGCCTTCCACTTTACATGTTTTAATACTATAATTGACAACTCAATTTCGAATAGGGTACATTTTTCTATACAATTAATACACCCACCAAGAAGCATCAGAAAATAGGTCAGAAAACTTCAAACTACTTGTTCTGGGAAACAAACAGGTTTGGCAACCCTAGAAGGTTGTACCTAGATTCAAACCATGGAAAAGAGAATAACAGGTCTCTGCATCACCACTTGTTCTCATATTTAATAAGAACACAATGGTTGACATAAAAACCAATATACTGTTCTCCAAATGAAGAAGCTTTTACACTGCCACTGAGTTTGGTTCACCTCCCAGTAAGGGGACAAGGTGGCAGGAGAGTCTAGCTCAACGTGACCTAAAGTAAATATTCCAACAGATGTGGGGTCTGCACCTAAAGACAGTAATTCAGCAAAATGTGAACACCATAATTCAGACCGAAGACCAGTTCATAGACTAAAGCTCTCTTGGAGTTGAAATCCAGAAGCAGATTAAGTTAAGACATGCTGCAGAGAGTCCTTATCAAGTGAAGACAGTGGGGGTGAAATGGGACCACAAAGGGCCCATGGGGATCTTGAATCTTGGAACATTCTGCTTTTAAAGCATTGCAGAAACACACAGGTATTGCTTTATTCTTCTTGACTCTTTAGGATACATACACATTTACATGTGTACATATGTTTATATGCATGAGAGGGAACCACCCCCCCAACAAAACAAAATTATCTTTTGGAGGGCGGGTCATTGCAGCTCCGGCTTCCCCGGTAGCTAAGTGCTGGAAACCCATCAGCATCCATGGACCCACTAGCGTTGTAGGGAGAGGCTGTATGAGGCTTAGTGAACTTGGGGGGGAGTGTTCAACACGTTGGCCCATGTCACGAAGGACGACTTACCACTGCACCTGCCCACACGTGCTGAGAGGTCAGGAGCTTTTGTCCCAAAACAGCAGGGCCCCTGTGTCCCGCTCTCCCTGTTTACTGGATCTCAACCAAAAAAGTCCTCAAGGGGAAACATTTTGGCAATATGGAAGAGGTAAAACCAAAAGTGTTCTAAGCACTAACAGTCATCAAAGTTGATGAGTTCAAAAAACTGTTTTGACCAGTGGAAAAAGTGTCTCGACAGGTGCACTGCCTCAAGCAGAAAGTACTTTGAAGGGGACCAAAGTTTAAACATGTAAGAATGCACAATTTTTATAAATAAATTCTAAGTTTTCTGGGTCCCCCTCATACTGGTTGAAATTTTTCATTAATAAAAACCAGAATGTTTATTTTAAAAAGATCATCCTAGGAATCCTAGGCTGGGTACAATGGCTTACGCCTATAATCTCCTTGGGAGGCCAAGGCAAGAGGACTGCCTGAGTCCATGAGTTCGAGACCAGCCTGGGCAACTTGGCAAGACCTCATCTCTACAATAAATTAAAATATTAGCTGGATGTGGTGGCACACGCCTGTAGTCCCAGCTACTTGGAAAGATGAAGTGGAAGGACTGCATGAACCCGGCAGATCAAAGCAACAGTGGCCATGAGCGTGTGTCGCTGCCCTCCAGCCTGGGTGACAGAGTAAGACTCCAACCCAAAAACAAAACAACAACAAAAAAGAAAAGCAAAATAACTGCTAATTACTAACAAAAAGCAATAATCATTTAGAATTCGACTGAAATATGCTCTGTAATTATACATATAAAATGAAAGTTACACAGTATACGACCTTTGGGAACTTTCCCCTCAACAATGGGGAAAACATGTCTTAGAAATTGATACTAAGTAAAGTACCCGGCCAGTATAAAATACAGCCCTATACCAGTGCAAATGATTTGTTATAACAGAAGATAATAAGGAACAGGCTACACAAGTTTTATCTATCTACATTAAAACTCTATTAGAAGCCAGGCTCGGTGGCTCAGCCTGTAATCCCACGCCTTTGGGAGGCTGAGGTGA